GCAGGCTGGATTTGGCGAGGGTGAATAAAAGCTGAATAGAAATGCTTAAAGAGTCTTATGGGTATATCCTTGAAAAATGAAGATGTAAGTTGACGTAAAAGTTGTATATGGATTTTCATAGAATCACTACTCACAATAGTCAAAAAGTAGGTTTGAAACCTCTAACTGATGACTAAATCAATAAAAGGTTGGATAGTCATACAACAGAATACAGCAGTTGGCAGTGAAAATGGATCATGGGATGACGATAAGCTGTAAGATGGATAAACCTAAAAAACAATACATTAAGAGAAGGAAGCAAGTTAACAAAGACAACATATGGCATCATTCCCTTCATAAGGAATATCCAACATGAGCAAAACTCTGGAGACAGAAAGTACACTGACCAGGGCTGAAGAGGTTATGAAAGGGTGGAGGAGATCTGGGGTACGGAAGGGAGCAGAGAATGACAGTTCGTAAGCGGAGCTTGCTTTGGGCCTGACCCAAACATTCTGCAAGCAGTCGTGGTGGTCATCACACAGTACTAACCACACAAGAACTACTTCTAAAACTACCTACTAACTGGGTAACTTAGGTGTACTGGTTATTTAGCAATAGTGTTGTTATCTTTTTTTTTTTAAAAAAAAAATAAAAATAAAAACTCCTTTTCAACAAAGCTGAATGAATGCTCAGGCTGCTGGAAGGTAGAGTCTCTGCTACCTGCACGAGTGAAAGGAATATCTTCTATAACTTGGAGGCAGAGGGGACCTGTCCCACACAGTGGCCATTGACTGAAATGCTTATAGGCCATCCAGGTCACACACTCCGTTCTGCCATTTGCCAGCCAGATAGCCTTGAGCAGATTGCTTCCCCGTCAGTTGTCTTTATCATCATCACCTCCAACCCCGATGAAAGTGTAGAAATTGAGATGCCTTAATTGGTAATGAGGATTTGGAAGGCTTGATTCATGGAAACATGCGGAGGAGCTCCAATCATATGAGTATTCGAGCCATGTGCATGTTCCCTATTCCCAGCCCCCTGATTTTCACAGCAGTAAGACAGACCCTGTTGGTTCTGGGCAGCTGCTTGGTGCTGGAATCATCTCTGAGGCCCTTGAACTATATACTACCTTTATAGGACTAATGATGGTTCTCCATTGCTTTCTCAGCTCTCCAAGGCAGCATGTGACACTTAGTGAATCTGTCATCCCTCACTGATAAGACTCCCCAGCCAGGGATCACACATCCTCCTATTGAACTTTCAACATCTTCTCTGAACCATGGCAAGTGTGGGCTTTGGTGGGAAACCTTCAGCCTGTACAAAGGAGGTTAGGCAATCAAAACCACTTTTTAAAACTCCATGATGTATTCAAAGCATCTGGAAATCCCAATCTCAGTCTCTCCCTCCCTTCCTCCCCCACCCCTTTTCGATGAAATATTGCTGTGTGACCCTGGCTAGTCTCAAACTTCTAGGCCCAAGTCATCTCTTGACATATCCTTGTGTGTAGTTGAGACTACAGATCCACAGATATCCACCACAGTGGCCTGTTGCACCTGGAAATCTAACAACTACTACTTGGGTTAGAAAGAACTGTTCTTTATGAATGTAATATTCTTTAAAAAAAAAAAAGAGTACTTCAGTGAAAGCTGAAATGTAAATACATAAACTTGATGTCTATCTTGCTCTGAATTCACATTTGTTGCATATCTCTTGGTAGTGTATCCACAACTTCTAGGGTGTCTAATCTGTCCATTTGTGGATGTTGTTGTGAACACTTTCTGTGTGTGCATCACTTAGGGGCCCCCATGGTCCTTTAGCAATGAGAAAGAGTTATATCCACAGGGCAAAATGTTTCAAGGCACCAACAGGATCAAAGGGAAGAGCATTTTTAAATCCCAAGGGAAAAATACAAAGCAAATAAAAATTGTGAATCGAGTTTAAAGCAAAACAAGGTAGGGTTTTAAAGGGGTAAAAGAGTCTCCACTCTTGTTAGAAGTCACTTAGAGTAGTGAGCTGTTAGAGGAATTTCCCCTCCTTGCCCTGTCTTGCTCTGTGTCTTTGAAAAGCAGATGACATATAATGTCAGGGCATTGTCTGGGAGCTCAAATCTAGAGAAACTCGGAAGAGGTAAGAAAAGGATTGTGTCAGTCAAAATCACCTCAGCCTCTGGAGATGGCTCTTTCTAGATTTTCTTAGGGGGAGCAAAATGGAAAATGTGTGTCAAGTTGAAGGCATTGCTCATCTTGAAAGCAGGACATAGGTCATTCACACAGCAATGTAGCCTGTGTACTGGCCGTAGCTTTTGCAAACTCTCCCCACACAGTCTCAGTGAAAAGAGGCTCCTGGACACTGATGTATGTGTCACTGATGTATGTGACAGGGCTCATTTGCTTCTAATTTCTATTTCTTGCAAGAAAGTTTTCAATGTGATTACACAAATTTTTTCAATTCCTTTTTATAAAAAAAAGATTCTTCTGATTTCACAACTTTTGATTCTACAGTTAAGCAGGGAAGGACTATTTCTGACCCTCGCTAGGAGATAAATCACTGAACTGATGTAACCCAAAGGTTTATATCCATGCTGAAATGTGGTGATATTGTGTTCCCCAAAATATTGTGCACCCTAATAAACTTATCCGGGATCAGAGAACAGAACAGCCACTAGATATAGAGGCCAGAGAATGGTGGCACACACACCTTTAATCCTAGCATTCCAGAGGCAGAGATCCATCCGGATCTCTGTGAGTTCAAAGCCACAGTAGAAACAGCCAGGCATGGTGGCACATTCCTTTAATGCCAGGAAGTGATGGCAGGAAGCAGAAAGGTATATAAGGCGTGAGGACCAGGAACCAGGCATAGTTAAGCTTTTAGCTTTTAGCAGCAGTTCAGCTGAGATCCATTTGTGTGAGGACTCAGAGGCTTTCGGTCTGAGGAAACAAAATCAGCTGAGGAACTGGCGAGGTGAGGATGTGGCTTGTTCTGTTTCTCTGATCTTCCGGCTTTCACTCCAACACCTGGCTCCCAGGTTTGTTTTTATTAATAAGACCTTTTAAAATTCATGCTACACTGAAGTATAAATAAATAGGAAGGGCACTGGTCCTTCTGTGGCAGAACTCTGGGTAGTAGTAATTAGTCTTCTGATTTCCTGGCACCCTTGTGGTAGATTATCTTTTTCTGAGATGACCATTCAGTATATCCCATCCAGAATGTTCCTACCATGGGATGCTGATGCTCCTGCACTGAAAGATGGGAACACTCCTCTACTGAGAGACACCTCCTTCTGTGAAAGCTGGGTCAACCTGTGACTGCAGTGGCAGCAATATCATGCACACGCCAAACCTAAGCTACAAAAGATGATTTATTTTCCACCTGTGCATCTTAGGAAAACTCGTTCTAGAAAACTGGTCACCATATTAGGAGGAAACCAAGCAACTTCCTGGAAAGATTATGTGTATTGTTTCAGCAGAGCCTCAGCTGAGGGTCTAGATGACAATCAACACTTATGACCAGATGCACCATGGCAAGGCTTCATGATGCTCAGCTCAAGAGAGACAGCCAATCCTCACCAATCCCAAAGCCTTAGGAACAAGTACAATTGTGCTCTTTATCTTAAAACACTGGCTTCTACGGTGATTTGTTATGTAGTAATATATATCTTGAATAATTATTAATACAAAACAATTCATAGCTGATGAGCACCTATACGTGTTAGTGAAAAGCTTCATGCCTGCATAGCCATAATTTATAAAGATGTCAATTGATTAAATGGTTAATAAATACATCTGACTGTGACCATTTGTGGGGCAAGAATGAAAGTGCAGGAAGTGTGCTTTCCATGAGCGTGGCTTCAGTCACAAGCCACAGTTCTAAAAGCTGCCTCCTGGGTGTGCTGTGAAAACTCACAAAAGAACTTTTTATTCCATCCTATTGAAATCCAATACTAACATGACCCAGGAAGGTGGATATGCAAAAGGACTTGGTTTTCTGAACTAGAAAACTTACGTTATGAAATTCTGTAGTCACTGCTCTTTCACGTTACCCAACACATCAACTACTTGAAAGTTTTAAGAAATGGCTTTGTGCTTGAAAAAGAAAAAAAAAGCCACAGTTCAACAATGAAACTGTTGATAAAATGTCTCCTTCCCAAGTGATGGGGAAGGGGGTTGTTTATGATTTTCTAAATTACTATAGGGTTTCTTCATTTTGATTGTGCTGATGATAATTGATTCCAATCTACCTCAAGGACTGCCTGTTCCTTAGGCTACCTTTTGATTAGAGATTGAGAAAGAGCAGGAAATTAAATAACAGGTGACTCATCCTGTCACCAGGGCAGTCCTGATCAAACTTAATAAACACAGCAAGTCTCCATGAGAATGTTCTCAAATGTTCTGGAAAATTCCAAAGAATTAATTATTCCCTTCCAGGTATTTTAGAACAAGCAAAGACTGCGGTGATTTTGTTTCCATGCTCAGATCATACTAGTATACACAGATGTGCTTAAATGTACAGGTAAGAATTTCCTTATCCACTAATCATAGCCTATTGCCATTCAATGAAAAACAGTAAAGTTCTTATCAGGAAAATGATATTAGGCATAATGACATTGGGCAACGTGATTGACAAGACTACAGAAAGAGCCAACCATTGACTGCTTTTATCTCGGTCTGCTTTATTGTGAACCCTGAATTCAGGAGTGTTGTCTTCATAAAATCTGAATGGTTTATATCAAAAATATGTATCTTTTGGACTGGCTCATTCCTCTTTGGCAAAAGAAACTTTGAGAGGTGTGCTAATGTTTACAAAGAAAGTGACCCAGAGGAGGAAACCTGGACATGTCCCTCAGATGCCATAGGAGGCAGTATGTAGTGATGAGTAAATAAGAGATTTAGAAAGAATCCATTGTTGTGATCCTATAGTGTCCTTCAAAGTCATGACAAATGTCTAGTACTTAATGTGTGTCCCTAATGTGTGTGTGTGTGTGTGTGTGTGTGTGTGTGTGTGTGTGTGTGTGTGTGTGTGTGTTAGAATCAAAATGGCTTTTTATTCACATATTTTGTAGAAAAGGGGGTTTAGTAAACAGGGTAGAGCCACATGAAAAACTTTGGGTTGGTCCATACTATTTACACATAGGAGGGGCACTGTCCTCACATCAGGCACAGCACGAGCACCTGTCCGATGCCCCTTTGTGGACACAGCCCTGGGCACACTTGGAGCAGCCCACGGGGCAGCAAGAGCAGCAGCTCTTCTTGCAGGAGATGCATTTGCAGTTTTTGCAGCCACAGGAGCTGGAGCAGGTGCAGGGGCTGCCAGTGGAACAGGAGCAGTTGGGGGCCATTCCAAGATCTGGTGAAGCTGGAGCTACAGAGCAAGTGACGAGAAGACAGTCGGGCTTCTGGAAGTTGTGATCTGGAGATTTCTTTATAAGGATGAAAAAATTGGGAAGAATTCTTCATTGTTGCCTCCTTTTAAGATCAATTTAATGTAAATATGGGGATACCTAACTATAATTTGGGGACTCTGATCTTTCTCTGGTTGCTACTCCATAGTGACTCTCTTTTGCTTGCCTTTGCCTGGTTATTTGTGTTCAAACAATTTTATTCCACAGTCTCTAAGTTTCTTCTGAGTTTAACATATATGTGATGCTGGACTGCAGCAATACTAGCATCTATTATCTTCAAATGTAAAAGCAGAAAGTAGACCATTGTAATCTGGATATAAAGTGTTCCCCCCAAGCAAATGTGGTCCTTCAAAAGTGTTCAGGGACAGAATCGTGAAGGCTTTGTTTTGCTTTCACCAATTGATGAATCCATCCATAAATTCATAGATGAATTAACAATTAGGAGGTGTGACCTATTTAAATGAAGTAGGTCCCTTGTGCATGGCCCTGAAATGGGTATCATATCCCCTGCCCCTTCCCACCTCTGCCATGAGGTGAGCCTCCTGGCATCATCATCTTTCCTACCACCTGTGCCTTGACTCAGTCCCAAAGGCAGTTGGTGACAGAACCATGATCCAAACCGTATCACTCCTCTTTAAGTTGATTCCTCTTGTTTATTTTTCTGTTTGTTTTTTTTGAGACAGGGTTTCTTTGTGTAGCCCTGATCTGTAGACCAGGCTGACCTCAAACCTATAGAGATCGGCCTACTTCCGTCTGCAGAGTGCTGGGGTTAAAGGTATGCACCAAGACCACTGCTGGGCTCCTCCCCTCTAACTTAGTCACACTAGTGGAACCGAAATAACACATGCATGCATAGAGGTCTCCACTACCTCTGAAAATAGAAATACATTCCTAGTTTCACTGTTTAAAAGAATCCCATAGTTAGCTGGGTGGTGACGCACGCCTTTAATCCCAACACTCGGGAGGCAGAGCCAGGCGGATCTTTGTGGGTTCGAGGCCAGCCTGGGCTACCAAGTGAGTTCCAGGAAAAGGCGCAAAGCTACACAGAGAAACCCTGTCTCGAAAAACCAAAAAAAAAAAAAAAGAATCCCATAGCATCTATACAAAAATCATTATAGATTACAACAAATGATAAAATATAGACAATTATAGATGTTAATTTCCCATGTAGAAAGTTGTTTAAAATGTCTCATCTTGATATCTATCTTGATAACTATTTTAGAAGTAAATACTTTTGCAATTTTCTCCATCTTTTGATATGTTACGTTTGTGAACTATAGGGGCTGGGGCCCTGGGAAAATGGTCCAGTAGGTAAAGTGTTCCTTGACTAAGAATAAGGACCTGAGTTTGAGTGCCAGCACTCACATAAAAAGCTGGCCCAACAGTGTGTACTTGTAATTGCAGTACTGAGGAGGGGAATCCAGGCACCAAGGCTCAGAGGCTAGTCAGCTGAGGCAAACCAGTAAGACTGTAAGACCCTGTCTCAAAAAACAACAGGGATCATGTCTAAGAAATGACCCTTGAGGTTGAGCTCTGGCCTCTGTCTTAGTTAGGTTATCTATTGCTGCAGTGAAACACCATGACCAAAAAGCAAGTTGAGGAGGAAAGGGTTTATTCGGCTTACACTTACACATTGCTGTTCACTACTGAAGGAAGCCAGGACAGGAACTCAAACAGGTCAGGAACCTGGAGGCAGGAGATGATGCAGAGGCCATGGAAGAGTACTGCTTACTGGCTTGCTCCCCATAGCTTACTCAGCCTGCCTTCTTATAGAACCCAGAACCAGCCTAGGGATGAAACCACCCACAAAGGGTTGGACCCTCCCACTACAATCACTAACTAAGAAAATGCCCTACACATTTGATTGCAGCCCAATTTTATGAAGGTATTTTCTTAATTGAGGCTCCCTTCTCAGATGACTCTGGCTTGTGTCAAGTTGACACAAAAGTAGCCAGAACATGTGCAACATACATGAAAATATACACATGTATACACACAAAAGATAGAAATATATGAGACAATGGAACCTCGGCTCCAACATTGTTTATAAGCAATGTGTATACAAATCTGGACATTTTAAAACATTTAAAAAATTAAATAACCAGGTAAATGTTAACCTTCAATTACTAGAAGACCATGAAAGAAAATGTTCCATGGGATGCTTAAGTGTCCTTCCAATTGGTGTGCCAAAATTCTAATCTCAGACATGATGGTAGTAGGAGGTAAAGTCTTTGAAAGATAATTAATAATGAAAGAACCCTTATAAAAGAGACCCAGGAGCCCTGAGCTCTCTGTTATCCATACGAGGACTCAGGAAAAAGATGGACATCTACAAACTAGGAAACAGTTTCTCACTAGACACTGAATCATTGTTTGCTATTATAGCCCAAATAAACCAAAGCAAGAAGCCATGGGAATTGTGTAATTATACACAGACTCGCTGACACTGAGTTGGGAACTAAGTATGAGATCATGAGCATCATGCCATCGGGAAAAAAAAAATGAACACCTTGGAACTAATTCACCAAGAGAGGAGAAAGCCAAATGCACGTAAAGAACACAGTGATCCAGTACTTTAAGGACTGCCTTGTAGTTAATGGATCACTTTATTTTGTGTTATTGCAGAAGAGTAAGCTTGGTTAGGGGATGGTCTCGTTTGAAAATAAGGACAATGTAAACAAGGTTTTCCAAAAATGAAATAGTCTTAGGAAACAGAAAATTTCCTATTATGAAAAACTTTCTGTTAAAAATGTAAGCATTTGGGATTTAGGGCCAGGGTTGAACTAGCTGTCCTTTCAAGAGTAGCTATTCTTTAGTTCTATCTCCAGATGGCAAGCTAGGGGCTGGAGTGATGTCAGCAGTCACTACTTCCTGCTCTCCCAGAAGACCCCAGTTCAATGTTCAGCACTCACACTATGTGGCTCACAACCACTGACAACTACAGCTCCAGGGAATCCATAGCTCTTCTCTGGTTTCCAGGGATAGCCAGACACACCCCTCCATAGTAAGTAAATAACTAAATTAAATCTTTAAAAATAATAATTGGCTGCGTGGTGGTGGCGCACGCCTTTAATCCCAGCACCTGGGAGGCAGAGGCAGGTGGATCTCTGTGAGTTCGAGGCCAGCCTGGTCTACAAAGTGAGTTCCAAGAAAGGCACCAAAGCTACACAGATAAACCCTGTCTCGAAAAAACAAATAATAATAATAATAATAATAATAATAATAATAATAATAATAATAATAATCGAGGACAGGAAGACATTTAAAGTATAAAACAAGAGTGAAAGAAGTTAATAGAGCATACCAGAGAATAAGGAGAAAACACATAATAGGAAAAGATAGGATCAGGAAGGTCATTTATCCAGAAAAAACAATGCTCTTTGACCTTTACTTTGAGAATCAGTGTCTTGATCCAAAGCACGACTAGAAATGAGCAGTTTAACCAGAATAGAAAGCAGATAAATCAGGAAGTTGCTATCCTGGCAGAGGAGTGTGACTATTGATCCTTCAAACATGTCGGGGTTGGGGGTGTGGCTCAGAGGCAGAGCTGGTGGCCAGTACACAGGAGACTCCACTGTGCTCGATCCTCAGCACTGGGGGGAAGGAGGGAAGACAGCCTTTTAGTGACTTCAAAGTTACAGGAATTTAGATGCAGGAAGACTAGGATATGGATTAAATCACCAGCCATTTGTCTTTTGTATATTTTGTGATTCATGCCAATGGGAGGTGTGGCAGAGAAGGAAGAAGAAGCTGAGAAGTTGGAGACACAAGCAGAAAAGGTGGTGTGTGGATTATCAGGAAGATGAGGAAGCTAACTCTCCAAGCAGCCTGTAGGGTTTCCACATAAGGTTTTCACACAGTATTCCTAGTCACCACTCCAAAGGGAATCCCTTTCTGAAAAGTGTGTAAAACTGGCACACACATACACATTGTACACATGCTAACAATTGCTATCTATTTCAAGAAGATAGTGTGCTAATAATACCCTCACATCTTAGTTAAATTCCAACTCAAACAACTACATTCTACTTTCCTAAATCCTCTGCTGTCTTATTTCACTTCCTTAAAAGCTAATAAAACATGTCTATAGTTGTTTATGTAATGACACTATAGAGTAGAGTATGATTCTTAAATTTTTAAAAAAATGGCTACAAAACTCCTTGAGTCTCTGAAATAAAGTCTCTTTAAATTGTGTCTTCTTGCCTTTTCCCCAGCAATAATATTTTGGATACCTATTTTGTTAATGTTATGTATTTATGAACTATCCTGACTTGGGGGTATATTATGTCATAATTATTTTTATATGGCGTTGTGTTTTCTAAAGTTAGATTGGTGACATCTTTTCAAATTTCCACATATTTTACAGGGTTTTCTGTGGAATATTATTCAGGTTCACAGTAGCAGCATCGTGGAGTTAGTGGCACATGCCTATAATCCTAGTGCTTGGGAGGCTGAGTTCAAGGCCAGCCTGGGCAATGTAATGAAACTCCATCTCAAAAATCAAAAGAGGACTGGGATATACAACTTAGTAATAGGGCGTTTGTCTAGCATGTGTGAAGCCCTGAGTTCAAAATCCGTCACCGCCAAGAGATTAGATAAATAAATACAGATGTACGAACAAAGAAAGAAAAGGCAAAGGAGGAAAGAAGGAAAGAGAGGGAAGAAGGGAGGGAGGGAGGGCAGAAAAAAGAGAAGAAATGTCCGCCCTGTCATGTTTCTTCACTTCACCTTTTGGGTGTCCGTTTTTTTCTGACTTCTCTTTCTATTGAGACAAGACCTAACTCAGCTCCCTTGTTAGAAAATCCTGGCATCACGAGAAGGTAGGACTTTGGCCCTGGTCCAACAAACTTTCACAGTGATCTTCTTTCAGCTCCGTTCTGGTGGCTTAACCTGATAACCAGGAAGAAAGGAACCGCTTAGTGGCATGTCAGCTCGCTATCTAGCTGGCTTCACATGTCGAAAATGTAAAATCCTACCAGCCATGGCTAGGATGGATGTCATATCAAACAA